GGGGGGAGAGAAACTGTATGATTTACTCCTAAAATCTCCTGAAGGTACTCTCTTGCAGCAGATATGGCTTCCTCTTAACTGGCTTATAATGTATGTTTTGTTTTTTATTCATCATCAGGTATTTAGTTTTATTATTATTATTTATTATTAATTCAGTGAAGTTCTCTAATCTTGGGGTGGGGGTAGGAGACAGGAGTTACTGAGGATTGAACCAAAGTGTACTTTACCACTGATCTACACTATCAACCCTTTTATTTTAAGACAGGACCTCAATAAGTTGCTCAGTCTGGGCTTGAACTTGTGATCCCCTATCTCAATCTCCTGAGTTGCTGGGATTATAGGCAGGTACAAATGTTCCTAGCTTCTGCTCTTAATCTGAAAAATGAATAAGTTAAAATTTTTCCATTTTCAAAATATAAAATCAAAAACTAAACTGTGACTTTTTGTAAGCCCATTAATTTTGGCCTATGAGTCGACCATTCTAAACAGAAGTACTTAATTGTCCCCTACAAAATAATGCTCCATGGACTTCCAGTTTTATTAAAGCAAAAAACAAATTTCAAGGTGGTATTGAGATTTTCTAGGATAACATTATTTTCTAACTTAGCCCCCAAAACAAACTCCAAAATTCCATAATAATTTCACTTGAAATCATATTTTTATTTTTCAATGAAGGAGGTCTCAGAGTCTACAAAAATAAATTAGGTTTAGTTTTTATTTTGCTTTTCTCATTTTACAAAATTGCTTAAACAAAAGTAATTCAACTAATACACTTCTCACAAGACTAGCAATTTCCTCTTAGGTTAAAAACATTAGTAAAACCATCACATCGCAGCTTCCATACATATTACATTTTGTATTTAGAAGTGTTGTTTCTCTGCTTGGTTCCCTGAAATATCAAAAGATCATTCTGCATTGCAAAAACAAAATCAGCTGTGCTGAATGATGACTTTTGGTTTCACATAGCCAAGGAGCTTCTCCTCTCCTTTAAAAAAAAAAAAAGCCAGGTTTCTTTACCCTTTTCTCCAATAGATACACAGAAACACTGAAAATCCTAAACACCTTTAAGATGCAGAGGTTACCATGCCTGAAACTACTAATTTTAAGTTTTAAAAACAGTCAGCCAGGCATGACAACACACACTTGTAATCTCAGCAACTCAGGAGGCTGAGGCAGGAGGATTGCAAGCTCAAAGACAACCTGGGCAACTTAAGGAGACCCTGCCTCAAAAATTAAAAACACAGGCTGGGGTTGTGGCTCAGTGGTAGAGCACTTGCCCTAAGACAGTTGAGGCCCTGGGTTCGATCCTCAACACATTAAAAGAAAAGAAAAGAAAAACAAAGGAACAAAAAATAAAGGTTAATTTCTTTAAAAATTTTTTAAAAATAAAAAAGGTTGAGGCATACATCAGTAGTAAAGTGCTCCCTGAATTCAATCCCTAGTATCATAATAAATAACTAAGTAATAATAAGAAAGTAAGAATAGAAAACTTTAAGAGTCAGTGCAAAGACTAATAAATCTCTATAACATGATCACTTAGCTCACTAACTAGTGAGCTAAGAATTGAAGAGTGTGAGTAAATGCTTATGATACTGTGAGGTATGACAATACCAAGCAGGACATAGTGTTATGACATAAGTTTTCTAAAGAAACTTCAGATTCTTATTTTTCAATTTCTTTCAAAAAAGCCAAGTGATCTAACTAATCATTATAGTATGACTTTAACAAAATGGAGGAATAAAAGATATTTTCTGTTTTTAATATACTTATATTAATAACAACTCCTGTGCTTACAAATGTTAGACTGATCCATAAGCTACATTTATCAGCATGTCACAAACACCTAAAATACCTTTAAGAACCTCCAAAATAATAAATAATAAAACAATAAAGTAAGCTCCACCAGAACTGCTTATAAAGTTATCGGCACAGTGGCTGATTTCTAAACTTTAAAGTCAGGACCAAATGTGTCCTGGCTTTCCTTCAAGTAACCACAAGAGCCTAAGCTAGTAAATAAAATCACCAAAATATATTAGAATATTTTATCTTTTAACTTTACCCATTCCTAGTTCATGTCTCAGTAATACTCATCCATTCTGTTCCCCCCTCAATTTACCAAAAGAGAACGTGTGATACTACAGAAGGCTAACATGATCATTGCTGCCATCTCATTAAGTACATTCTTCCTAGCATCAAACTCTAACTCCACGGCTGCCACCTGGACAGTTCACTACTCAACTCCACTTTCTCCCCTCTCACCACCACCATTTTAATGGCAGAATATTCACAAGGCTGAAAACTGTTTTTCATCTCAGCAAACAGAATACTTAAAATCAGATGGTCGTCCACAAATCAGAAGTTAGAAACCACAAAAAAATAATTAAGTAACTAAACTTTTCTATTTTCAGTCTCCATAGAAAGCAGTAACATCTAATGATGCTAATAAATCTCTATAACATGATCACTTTGCCATCAAATCATCTCCTTCATAGACTAGTATACTTTAATTAAATACATTTTGCTGTGGTAGGTCCTTCAACTCCTATTTTTTCCCAGGGGTTTTCCTGCATCATTCTCTAATCACCAAATTATTTCTCCATAACATTTTCTTTAATTTTAAATCTATGAACAAAAAAAGATAACCGTGAAAAATTACCATAGAAGAGATATATCAATACACCTTAAATACAAAACATCAACATTAAGTATAAACTGCTGGATAACCAAGAAAAAGATAAGCATCTCTGGTATGACCAAAAACCTCACATTAAAACATTATGTACTATACATGATTTTGGTAAATAGAAGCAAACACAGTATTTACATATCAAAATAGGGAACTGCAGACTCATTTCTGAGTTTAGATAAAAATATCTTAACTCTGTTTATAAGGCAAAATAGTTATTTTAATGAAATATCTCCTTACAGGTATAATCATATGATTGACAGGTAAAATAATTGCTTTAAAAATACTTCTGAGTCATTTTGTCCTTACCTGCAGGCATGAACCATTACTGCATGCAGTGACTGTTCCATTTCCTAGCACAGACTTGAAGAAGCATCATATCTCTCTTACAGAATGTGACTAATCTGTGGGTTTGCAATTCCTAAGCTATTTACAAATGGCACTCCCTTTCCACATAAGAAAATATTTGTTACAACCAAAAATCAAGTATTTTTAACCTAGATCTCTTACAAATAACCTTGGTAATTCTGTACAGCAACAACCTCAAAATACAGGAAGAAAATCCAACAGTAGTATTTCCTTAAAGAAAGCAAGATTTTTGTTTGTTAGATTATTTTGTAAAGCCTTCACAGCTGTCACACATGAACCAGCAGTCCGCCGTGTTATGGTGTGCATGCTGCAGCTGATTAGGCTTCACTATTTTAAAAAAAAAAAAAAAATCAATTAACCTTCGCAAAAGCAGAACCGCTTCCCCAAATACACATCTTCAATACAGCACAATACCAGCATGCAGTACAATACGTTATGTAGCAAACTTGACAAGAAAAAAAAAATGTCCTGTTTGTTTCTTAGTAAGGCTACACCATTAATTGTTCATGCAAGAGATGTAGCTGTACCTTTCTGAAGAGGACGACTTCTCAGAGTTAACTGACATCAGCAGCTCAATCTTCTGCTTGATTTCTGGAAAAATCAGAAAATATTCACAACCAAGATTGCCTGCCCTTGCTTCCAAGCTTTATATCAAGAGATTTTTCTTCTCTAATCCCTTTTGTTCCGAATGAGGCCACAAGATTCACAGTACTTCTGTTAGGACTGGGATTCAATGGTGCTATAAAGGGAAAAAGCTCCAGAGGCATCAGGCCTTGCTAAACTATGCACATGACTGTTTATGAAAGCAGGAAGTACCATTTCTTTTAAGCAGAGGGGTGTTTTCTTTTTTAAGGTAGAACTTACATGGTTCTAAAAGATGATTTTAAATTTAGCAAATTATAATAAAAACAAAAAATGCTAACATCAGAATTTAACATACTGGATTAATTTGAGAAGCATGGATAATAATGTTTCTGACTATAGTGAACAAATATGCAACCCTTGGCTGCTTCTATTTCACTAGCCCTTAAAAATATGGCTCAGTGAATCATTTTTGTCACTTAAGAATGAAATATTAAAACAGAATTCCAATTTAACAATTAAAAATGCTCAACCTTTGTTAAAATTTCTTGGTTTTCATTAAAGCTATATCTAATATCTAGTCCCCAGCTCCTTTAGAAAAAGACTTGTTATTTTACACCTTAATTTTCCCCTCCTCCTTCACAGTACAGTACAAGTGAACAGCAACACCCAGTTACCGAGCAGAGATAACATTCTTGTCCTTTTAGGAAAGGACTGGCAATGCCACCTATAACAGAAAAGTAAGCACCAGTTCAATTTAATTAAAAGATAATTGCTCATACTGATTTGGAAAGGAGATAACAGATTAAAAGGGAAGAGGGAGAATAAAGAGAAAAAAAAAAAAACGCTTCCTTTAAAATACCAACGACTGATCTAGTGCTCATAATTTTAAGTGAATAAAATTAACACGATCTTATTATTTTTTGTGCAAGTCTGTTTTCCTATTCCTAAAAAGTATTTCTAACTGCATTTTAAAAATTATGTTTTCATAATAAAGACTTCACATACTAAAAATAAAACAGTGCCACTGAAATACTAAGAAACAGTCTCAGAATTTCAAAGTAGAACTCAATTATTTTTCCTTTTTTAATTTTTAGAGATAAACTAATTATGATCTTTAAAAAATGAAATCAAAGTGGAATGAGAAAATTTAAAGGAAAAAGGAATAACATGCATAAAATGCAATGGACTTGTGGAGGAATATCCTCTCGATGTTATTTATAATGAGGTTTTTCCAATTGTTTAAGCTTATTTTCATCCAGTGGGCATTACAGAGCTGGTAACTACCGGGATGAGAACAAAACTTACCTTGAACATGCTAAGGTGGATTACAGAGCTGTACACATGATACCATGGTGAACATTCAGTAAAGACCCCTTCTCTGGCACTGTCCTTCTGCCCCATACTAAAAAGAACAGACTGTTTAAGCGCTCCATCTCTGCATTGGATTTAGGAACAGGCTTTTCCATGATTTTTAAAAACATGACCTTGGGGAGATTACATAAACTCCAAAAGCCTTTCTCTCCTCCTCTGTAAAATGGGGATAATTCCTACTTGAAAGGCTGCTGTGAGGATTTATTGAAAGAATCTATGAAAAGTTCAATAAGTATTGTGCTTGGCATGTGGTAAGCCCTCCTTGCCTATTATTCCGCAGTGCCTATTGCCCTCACTATTTACTGAATGAGTCAATAAAGTATACAAGGTCTGCCCAATTTTACATAGCTTTCCCTAGTTTAAATTCCCCGCCCCCTTATAATCAACCTCAACATAAACCTTTTTTTAATCACTTACAGTGTTACTGTATGTGGAAATTTAAATTTAATCTGTAGCTCTAGACAATTATTCTTACTTTATCAACTAGCTACTTTGAAAATAAGATTACACTTAAATCCATCTTCATTGTGACTATTTTTTATTCCAAAAGGATAAACAGTTCATATTTCAGTATATTTATATAAAATCAGTGCACTTAAGATTAAAAAGCCCAAGATTAAATTACACAGCTCTATTGACATTTATGCTCATCTTGTAAACATTAAGAAGAAAAGTTCAAGCTATAAACCATTTTATGGCTAGTCACTTTGGGAACCAAAGAGAATTCTAATAATACATGAAAATGATTCCAACATTATTTCTGCCAAAGAGTCAGATTTGTTCAGAGTTCCAAAAGAATTGGAAGACTCAGGAACGTCGACAAATACTGTATCAATATCATATCCCGTGAAACATATGTATTCCATCTAACTATCTATACTCTCCCTTAGTATGTTATTCCCCACATTCATTAAGAATTTCAGGGTGTAGGATTTTGTAGCTCAGTGGTCCAGCACTTGCCTAACACATGTGAGGCACTGGGTTCAATCCTCAGCACCGCATAAAAATAAATAAAATAAAGTTGTCCATTTACAACTAAAAATAAAATAAGAAAGATTTTCATTTTACTGACTTCAATTCCACACAATATCCACCAAAATCCTGGGAGACTCATATCCATACTGCACTGACGAACCTTGGCATCCTCAATCTATGGTCTTCTGAACCTCCGTATCACCTGAGTCACCCATTCCTATGGCTATATTTAGCACACCCTCTTATACATACTACAAATATTTTCCTCCAATTAGTTATTTTTCAATTTTATTAATTACTCCCAGGGTAATATCTGGAACCCTATACTCTATTTTTCTGCAATTAAGTCAACAAATCCTTTTCTTTATAAGTTCTAGTCTCCTATTAAACTTGGAAGACCTTCTCCACATCAAAAATTTTTAATGTCCTATTTTATGATAACATTCTGCATGTATCCTTCTAGAATTTATTCTGGCCCAAGAATTGATATAGAGGTCCAGTCTGCTTTTATAAGTCACATTTTAAAACCATACACCACACCCTACCCCCACAATTTTAAAGGACTCTCTTCACCACGACTCCTTGGTTCTTCCAAAGCAGCGGTCTTACCATCTTGCAATTAACCATTAATTTAACCATCCACCATCTTCATTTATACTTTTAGACCACTTAATTTTTTAAAAAATGTTTATTCACCTAATGTTTCCCTGCATCTTTCATCTGCATTCCCTCTACTATCTAACCACCACACTGCTATACTTCAAAATGCTTGCCAGTACACTGATCAGCTCCTTCTGTATCTCGCCATCTTTAATCAATCCTTTACCACTCCCCTGATGATGCCATTCCTACTCTCACCTAAAGACCACACTTTCTTGCCAGGTACAGTGGTGCACACCTATAATCAACTTGGGAGATCTGAGGCAAAGAGGCTCCCAAGTTCAAAGCCAGCCCCAGCAACTCAACAAGACTCTATTGTCAAAATAAAAAGGGCTAAGGAATAGCTCAGTGGTAAAGTGCCTCTGGGTTCAACCCCAGCACTACCTCCTCCTTCCCGCCCCGCCCCCACCAAAAATAAAACAAAACAAAAAAACAACTTACTAATTGAACACAAAAAATAAGCAAGTGATTCCTGTGTATGTTGAATAAACATTTTAATTATGGTTAATCTGATTTAGTTATAGAATTTTGATTTCAATTTCAAGATAACATTATAGGAAATTATTTTTAATTGGAAAAAATTATGAATTTTATTTTCTATGTTGCCCAGGCTAGCCTTGAACTCCTGGGCTTAACCAATCCTCCCGATCTTCTTGCCTCAACTTCATGAGTAGCTAGGACTACAGGTGTAAGCCACCTCACCCAGCTAGGGTTTATTCTTTTAATCCCTTTGTTTTTATGATTCTTCTCATACTCTAGGTCCTTTACATGATCATCATCTTCCACTTAGTCCTTAAATGCTGGTCATACTGGTAGGACCCTCTAAGTCATTCACCAACCCTTCTATTAAAAAAAACCCTTGATTAAAAAAAAAAAAAAACAACCAAATGACACTGATGAAGATCATACATGAACTGCTAACCCAATATACTGCTACAACCCAAAACAACGCATCCTCCAATCTCTACTAGACATTTTCTTCCAGTCACTGAATGCCTTAAACACAATGTCTACAAATGAATTCATCATTTCTCAACCTTATGTTACTCTTTATAGTTCTCTGTGTGTGTGTGTGTGTGTGTATATATGTGTGTGTGTGTGTGTGTGTGTGTGTGTGTGTGTGTGTGTATGTGTTTGCACAGGCACACTCAAGGGATTAAACCAGGGTCTTGGCACTCTATCAATGGGCTCCACCCCCAGCCCATACCCTTTGTAGTCTTCAACTCAGTATACTGCATCACCACTGCCCTTCCAAGCCACAAATTTCTGAAGAATCCCAGGCTAATCCCCTATCTTTAGGGGGATATAATTTCCACGTTCTCCCTTTTTTATATATTGAACATTAGTGGTAGTTCCAAAATACATCAAGCTTTTTCATACCACTAAATCTTTTGTTATACAGTTTCCTCTCCCAGAAATGTCACTATCAAGTTCATCTCCCTTACATACCCAACTACTTTTCTAACCTCAACCTCAAATGCTACTTCCTCCTAAATGTCTTCCCAGATAGAAGACCTATTCTGCCCCTCTATATATTGTAAATACTTGCATTACACAATTACTAAAACATATCATTTTTTTAACTGTTAGCTGCATCAAGGAATGGGACTGAGTTTCCATTTCAATTCACAGAATCAGACATATCAGACACTTCATAGTCTTCTTAGCCAGTTCTAGTAAATCTAATTAGTATTAAAGTTACAATCTACCTAAGCTAGTTTACTTTTCCTTAAATGTACACTTCTATATATGCACAGCTAAAGCACATGAATTTATAAAGGAAAAACCTGAAAAAAAATACAAATAACTGGAGTCAGACACATTTTTCAACTTTTTCAAAAGATTATTGTCTCTGAGACCTAAGGCTAAATTTTCACAGACCCTAGCAATCCAAGCAAAACATTCTGCATTCTTTTAAAACATTGTTATGTATCTCCAATCGATTAAAATCATCACTGATTAAAACAACTAATTGGTCTGTGACACCATATTCTTACACATCACCTTATATGCCATTAAAAGAAAAACCAGTTCAAATTCCCCCATTCAATCTCTTGTACCCAACCCACAGACTTTCCTATGATACCCTTTTGTTCTTATTTTCCTTCACACCTTAAGAGACACTCAAATTTCATGTGACAACAAATAGTTTAACTCTTTAGTTAATGGCTTCCAATCTCTAATATGTCCTTTTCCGTTATGTAACAC